GCAGATAATTTTTTACTCGCCCTTATATGAAAAATTATTATCAAGAAGTCATAAGGAAAAAAAGGATATGGTGATTTAAGTTATTTTTGAAGGAAAGTAAAACCTCTCAAGAAGAAACAAACAATTTAGATGCAGGTCCATCTATTCTAATAAAAAATTTGAGTTTTTTTCTTCAATAGAATGTTAAATTAACACTAGGTATAATAAATTGGCCAGCTTTAAAATGAATTACAAGAAATCACAAAATGGCAGTAAAGACTCATCAACATGATAGCAGTAAATTTTAGATACAGATATTTTAAATTCAGACAGAAAGAAGGGTCCTAACCTGTGTACCTTGTCCTACAGCACAACCTAAACAGAAAGCAGTTTACAGCATGCTGTTGTTATTCAGTGTCCTTGAGTCCAGTTCCCACTCACAGGTGCCCTGAGGGGTTTCTGAGGTTATAAATCTTTGCTGGCGCAGAAGCCTCATCTTTCTCCCTTGCAGTGCTTGTGGGAACTCCATGGGCTAGTGTTTATTCTACAGAGCCACTAGGCTACCAGTTTACAATGTGACAAATCTTAATTAATAAATGAAAGCAAGAAATGTAAGAAATATAGTGAGTAGACTGTTTTCAGTAAAGAAAGGATGGATACATTATCTTCTCTTAAATCACCATAGTCTAACAGAGCATACAACCTAGTTCATTTATCAGAATTCACCTTTTTAAATTATAACAAATTACCGTTCACTTACAAAGAGGACTTTGGAATAAATAATACTATTTAATCCTAATGTGCCATGCCAAATGTGAGTACACATTAAAACACTAGATGAGAACTCTCAGCAAACCCATCAGTCATGCTTTTAACAGCCTACTATCTTGGTCCCCAGTAAACCTCATTAAGATTTTCAGGCTACTGCCATTCATGAATAAAACTGGAAAATGCCATTAGAAATAGTAAAAGGCAACACTGTATATACATTCTACATCCTGTTCATTTAAGAAGTCTCAATTACCTGATGTAGGAACTATGGTAGAAGCTGTAGTAGAGGAAGGCCGAGTTGTGGTTTTAGCTGTAATGTACACAAAATGTATTAAAACCCCCAACTTTCCAATTTCCTAGTTATCTAGTATCTATCTTAAAAATAATAGCTCCAATCCCATCATGCTTTCAATTTTTTAAAGAGAATAAAGACCAAATTTCAGTTAATGGTTCCCTGATTATAAATATAATTCCAAGAATACTAGCATTTAAATGTATTTTAAAGCAATAAGAAGACATAAAATTCTGTCTGCCTTAGGATACACGCAGTAATACACACAAGGAGGCCTCAAAAAGTTAAAGAAAAATGATACTAAAAGACAATGGCATTTTTCCACAAACTTTTGAAGCCCTTTGCATCTACGTGTAAAAATCAATATATACTTCTGAATAAAGTTTACGAAAAGATACACAGAAGGTCAAGAATTAGTATTTGGAAGAGAGAACTCTAGTCTCTATAATCTTATTTCTAAGGGAAAAAAACCTACGAATTAAAAAAGTCATACTAAGAAACGCATGTATTTATTACATGAGTATCAAAATTTACTTCATCTTTGGGAATTAAAGCTTGTTTTAATTTTCTTTAGGCTTCTGACTTTGCAAGATTTTCACAAAACCCATAGAAGTTTATAGAATGAATGTACAAATCTGCTCAGATTCACTGATTGTGAAATTCTGGTATTATGTGTCATTGTCACAAGTCAGACACATTGTGGTCCACCCAGTAAGTCTTTACTTTTCTTAAAGTTATACTAACAGCTTTTTAGTAATTAATAAAACATTATCCACCGAGAGCATAATTCTGAAAGGAGGAAAAGAGTCAATCATCCTGGATTACCTGCAGAACTGGTTGGCAGTGGAACAGCAGTGGGCACTATTTAAAACAAAACAAACGAAAACCAAGTATAAATCTAAATGGTTTAAAATACCACGTGATCTATACTATTTCCCAACCTGCAGACATTTAAGTACCATGTTCACAATTTTCACAACTGTCTGTAAAAGAGACTGGCAGATGCCCCACCTAGCATCATTCTCCCAGTCTTTAGAAATACAACCAACAATTTCTTAAGGCACCCCTCTCCCCACCTCCCACAAGAAAGCTATTCCTCAGTCTCTCTTGCTATGTGTCATCTGTAAGTGGTCACAGAGCACCTCTACATTTTCCAGGCCTGGATAACCTTTACTGCCCTTGCTTAGTTATGAAGTCTTAAAGTAGACACAGGGTTCTCTTTCCCTACCCTTTCCTGTTGACAGAAAAATTAATATGATTGGAACCTCAGTACCCACCTTTGCAAGCAAGGTTAAAGCTAATTTTGAGAATGGTAAAGCAGGACAGTAAGAAAGCGGAAAACCTTCAACAAGATAGAGTGACACAGCTGCTGCAACAAAGGATGCAATATAGCAACTATGAGGCTGATGCAGGGCAAAGCAGTGGTTCCTTCTGTTGCACATAAGATCACTATGTCTTAGAACTGACTCGAGGAAACTAACAACAACCTAGTACAACGTAGGAGCAGTCTGGGTTCCTGACAGTTACAGGGCTGCCATGCTGACCCTCTAGCTGCACTCCAGTCCTCACCACTTTTCCAGGAAAAACAAGAATGGCTATTGTTTAAGCCACCACGTAATCTGCAATGTTATGTTCCTCACAAATCAAACTAAAACAACTACTAAAAATCCTTACTACATTAAAACAAACTACTAAAAATGTTTGCTCATCTACTACCTACTATGCTGTACTTTATGCAACTTAAAACAGACTTAAAACTAATATAATCCTCAGTTACAAAGTTCAAATTGGTACGGTAATGCCTCCTAAAATTAATTCAAGGTAGGAGTCCGGATGTGGTGCTGTGGGTTAAGGCGTAGTTTGCGAGGTTGGTTTGAAATGCAAGGCCGGCAGTTCAAGCTCAAGGTCAGTCATGCCTCGGAAGCCCTATACAGGGTCACTATGAGACAGAACCAACTTGTCGGCACTTAACGAGTAACACATTACAAAGAAATCTTTGCTCTATTCTTCTGTTACCCATGTACCAAAGTAGCAGTTTGACTTTCCCATTAATTTATAAATCTCATTAGCAAAATTAGTTGTTTCATTTAAAATTTTTAACTATTTCCAGGACAAAAAATAGAGGTAAAAGAATAAATAATTTCATGAAAAGAAAGTATATGAAATGGATAAACGCAGATAAGTTTGTTTTAACTAACGCATAAACTATGCTAGAGACCAGCTTTGACAATCATTAGCAGCATCGCCATAATCAAGCAAGGACAGAATGAGGTTGTTCAGGCCTATAAAATGCAAACAGAGCAAATGTATAAACTATAGTGAGTTCTTGGAAAATGTATTTTTTTAAAAACTGCTTTTAAAAACTTTATAGCATTCCATTGTATGTCTAGCTAAACTTTTACAACCAGACTTGGAAGTATCTGCCCTTTATTGACCAAGAGGAAGTGATCTATTTCTATTTCTTTTGCTACGCACACCGAACGTCTAACAAGATTAGAATTACAGGAATACTTTCAATAAACATTGAAATATTATGCATCTTGAAGCAATAACATCCCTCATCTCTCTGTGGCCACCTTCCCAGCAGCCAATGTGAAAACATACCTGAACAGAATTTTGTGCCATTCACCACGCTGCAACCACTAGCTGTTGAATTATGTGAACAGTAGCTTTTACCTGATGAGAGGGGAAAAAAAACAAACAGCACCAATAATTTATATTACCTTTGACTTTATTACAAAGCTCCAGAATTATTCCTTAGAAGCCAGGATGGCAAGACTTCATTTCTCATACTTCGGACATATTATCATGAGGGAACACACACTGAAAATATGCTTAGTAAAGTATAGGATCAGCAAAAAAAGAGGAAAAAGACCCCCACCAAGATGGGTGGCACAGTGGCGGCAGCAGCAGTGGGGCTCAAGTGATGACAATTGTAAGGATGGTGCAGGACTGAGCCATGTTTCACTCTGCTGTGCACTGGGTCACTAGTATGAGTCAGAGTCAACTGCACAGCACCCAACAACAGAATCGCTTCTAAGAAAACAAAATGAACCCCAACCAGAAACAATTTAGAAGACCAATAAGTAATGTTATTGATACTACAAGAACTTTCCAAATTTTGTTCTTTTAAAATCCACATAAATATATTGAATAGATAAATGTGAAAACACGTCTCAGAATTGTGGTGTGGCTACTATTCAGTCAAGGAAAGCAGCCAGAACCCACAGGAAAGGGCTAAGTTAGGGAGAAGTGGGCAGGATGTTTAATATGGGCTGAGAAGCAGGGTAGGTGTTCTGAGAGCAGCAGTCTCTGGTGGTCTCACTGTTTCAGTCTTCTATGCTTTCTAAAATAGTTTTCCTGCTAGCAGATTTACACCGAGAGTAAAAGGAAAGCCTTCCACAGATCCCCTGAAAGTAGGGCATTCAGCCTCCAGAACCTGCCAACTCCTACTACACGATGGGGACAGGGATCACTGCATGGACTCTTAAAGTCCATTTTGTGACTTAAAACAACTGTGACACTTACTGGACACAAAATTTAATCCACAATTAAGCAAATACCTAATTCTAAACAAAGCTTTTTGAATTTTGTTATGTATTTATATATACCTTCAAGAATGAAAATTCTTTACCTAAAAGCAAAAACAAAAAATTTTAACTCATAGTTTTGGCTTTTTATTTTTTTTAATCAAATATAATGTTTTGCTGAAAAAAACAACCCTTTTATATTAAATTAAGAAAACAGAGACTAAACATACCACAATTCCATGCCATGGGTCTAAGGAAAACTTTATGGGCATTTCATATTCCATCTAGCTTTTTACCCTCAATCAAAAATACATGTAGCTGAAAGGGGTTGAGGACCGTGGGGGAGGGGGGCAGGGTACACCCTTTGGTTGGGTGATGATGCATAGACGGGATGGTAACAATGGCAGTGAAACAATGTATGATAGAATGAATGTAAAACTAATGTTCTCCCATGTAAACTATCACACAATTCACAATAAAACATTTATTTAATGAAAAAAAATATATATGTAGCTAATTTACTTTAAAACTTAACATAAGCACAGGAAAGAGTAAGCTCCATTCCCCACCCCACCTCATTTTTCACCCATATCTAGCTAAGCATCAAACAAGTTGCAGTCTTTTCTAACTTTATAGCTCACCCTGCAGGACGGACATCTACAGTTACAAACAATCCAGTTTGATCTTCCTTAAAATCACCAGGGGAAAATTCCACAACTTTCTTTCATTGTTAATTCTAGTGTGTTAGTATTCTTAATCCTACTGAAAGTTTAAAATCTCTCTTCCTTAAGATTTCTTAATTAAAGCAATTGAACTTTAATTATCAAATTCAAGGTATACAAAAAAAGGGGTAGGGGCATGGCCATAAGAAGAGCTTCTGCAGGATAGGGGTAGTGGTGTCAATTAACTGATAAAAGCAAGTGTTTGATTTGCAAAATAAATAGTGCCAATGAAAGCAAACCCAAAGCTTCTTACCTCCTTCACAATCCATCCAGAAGCAGGTACCATTACCAATAATGCTAGCATTAAAACAGGATAGGCAATTGTGCTGGCTTTCACAGGTTTCTGGGAGGAGAAAATGTATGATATCAGCAAATTGGTATCTTATTTCATGTTTGTTCTGCTTATCGTTTTATAACAATACTAAGTATTATATACAGCACAAGAACGACTAATTCAGAAAAATACTAATGTTTTTATAAACACTGGCTTACCAATAAATTCCAGTCATCATAAACTAAAGTAATAAATCAACTCAAAAACACCAGTTAAACACAAAAGCCCCCCTCCCCAAAAAAACACATTAAGTAGGTACCTATCTAAACAAGTCTTTTTCACAGGGCAACTATTTGAAAGACACCCACAGATGCTGAGGGTTTCTTGAGGCACTTTAAAACATCCTTTAAAAAAAAAAAATATATATATATATATATATGTTAGTCACTGGAGAAGGATATCATATTTGGTAAGGTGGAGGGTCAGAGCAAAAGAGGAAGACCCCCAGCGAGATGGACTGGCCAAGTGGCAGCATCGATGGACTCTAGCGTGGCAACAATAGTGAGGTTGGCCCAGGATCGGGCAGTGTTTCTTTCTGCTGTGCGTAAGGTCACTATGAGTTGGTACCAACTGGTTCAAAGCAACTTTGCAGTCCAGCATTAAACCACAGTGCCACACCAGGGACTCACTCACACTCAGAATCTCTCTCTCTATTTATATATATATGTATATATATAGTCCTGGTGTGGTGCTGTGAGTTACTGCGCCAGACTGCAAAGCCGTTTGAACTGCAAGGATGGCAGTTCAAACTCACCAGCTACTCCTCCCTCGGAAACCCTATACAGGGTCGCTATGGGTTGGAATCGACTCGACGGCACTTAACAACAACATCTATCTATCTTATCTAATCTATCTAATCTATCTATCTATCTATCTATCTATCTATCTATCTATCTATCCACACACACATGAAAAGGCTTATTCTCCTGTTATAAAACCAATACAACACAAAACACCAGATGATGCATTGGGATTTTTAATACTAATAAAGTAACAGGTTAAATCCAAGCTCTGATGACACTCATTATGAAAATGAATTAACATCCTAGAGATTTCCAATTCATAAACGGTTCCATCTTTACAGGGGCCTCTACAGCTGGAGAATAAGAGATAGTATCTTCCCAGCATATTCACAGTGTACATAGAATTTAACAAGTTATCAAGGTCCCTGTCAATAGCAGTTTAAAAATCAAAGGGTTCAAAAACAAGACCTAATTGGATTTCAACATGTGAACAAAGTATTAGAATCTGGAAATAGGCTCTGTAAGTCTTCTCCCTGTCTACAAGTCCTGAGGTACTGCTGTTGAAGATATTATTAGCATTGATTAGAGGCTGTGTCATATACAGTACACCTTTAAAGGGGGGGGGGTCACGAAGCAGAAATAAGATACAGTTCTTCACACATTTTCATACAGATGAAAAATGCCAGCTAGCTTTTAAAAAATCTTTTGTGCTTACCAATGAAGATTTGGGTAGCACAGTAAATGTGATTTACAGTCCTGGTGTGGTAAGCAGTTCAAATCCACCACCAGCCACTCCTCGGAAACCCTATACAAGGTCACTATGGGTCCGTACCAACTGGACTGTACTTCACAATAACCACCAGCACCTTTCAAACTACAGCTTATGCAAATACAATCTCCAGAAACACAAAACAGCTCTTTTACATGAGTTTCAATTATCAAATACAACTTCAATTAACTTAATTTCAATTTTCACTTCAATTAACAAACAAACAAACAAAAAAACCCACTGACAATTCTGGGAGGAAACTGCCAAATAAACAGGAGACAAAAAATCCGCTGGCTCTTTCACCTTAAAAAAAAAGTTAAAATTCCAAATATTCTACAACAATTGACTTTCCTTATTTTTAAGTTTAGTTTTACCATTCTATCTTTCTACGTCTAACAAGTTACATTAACATCTAACAAATTATATTAAACTACATATTAATTACCTTAACAATTTAGAACCAATCAACCACGAGATTATAGGTTTTAAGCAGCTAAAGTTTCTTCACTTTTTACAAATGACCTCAAATTTGTATGTCCTTCCTTTTTCTGTGTTTTCACGACAGAGATCGATTTCTTGTATTGATTTCTCTGCCTAACAAGCCCCTTAGTCGACATTTGGCACGTCTTGATGGGGTTTTAAGAAATCGACAGCTTTAGTTACTAAAGAGGCGTTCCTGGGAGAGTTGTTTTATCTCCGATTTCATCTGGCTACTAGATGAAATCATCTACCTCCCAAGTTTCCCAAAAGTACTGTATGTACGAACATATGAAAAGCACAAAGTAAAGTCTTCCTTTGAATTTAACGTAGGATGTAAAATTTCCATTCATTAGATGCTCACATCTCAGTTATTACTCTTATCTCCTGCCAATCCGAAATATCAGTCTAATCAAATCAAAGACAAGACTTTTTGTTTCCGACACGAATGAATAACCACTGTCCTTAAATTTTTCTCTTTTCGCCAACTTCCGGGAAAGCCACCCTTGGGAGAGGAGAGCCGAGTGGACACACGAGCCGAGCCAGTGACAGAATTCGGTCTCGCCTCCAACAACTTTCGAGGCGCGGGGCCTCGCCCCTTAACCAAACTCAGCAGCCACCGCGGAAAGCAGCCACGTCCCCTCCTCCGAGCCTAAGTTGAGCCCGGGGATTACGGTACACTTCGAAAAAGCACGTCCGAGTGAAACACTTCGAGAGTCGTAAACAGACCAGCGGCCAGCGGGGCTCTCCCGCCCCTTCCCACCGGGTCGCCCACCACCCACCCCGGCCACCCCGCGCCCGGCCCCGCACTGGACTCGGGGCGGGCCGCCATGTTGCCAGAGTCGCCGCCGCACCCCGAGCGCGGCCCGTCCTGGTCCCGGCCCCGCGCGCACCGAGGGGAGTGAGGGCGCAGGGCGAGTGTGGGAGGACGCAGAAAGCTCGTTGGACTGGGGCTCACCTGGAGATGCAGTGGTGTTCGGCGCTGGGGTCGTCACATTCGTCGGAGTTATCGTGGTGGTGGGCGTTAAAGTCGTGGTATCGTTCGTAATAGGTACCAGAGTGGTGTTGGGATCCAAAGACAGCACACAGAGCGCCGTCAGGCAGGTGGCGGCCCAAAAAACTGGGAGGGAGAGCCCCGACATCACGTCCTCAGCGCTGGAACTCCGGCGAAAGCTGCGGCGCACAAGTCTCTGTCGGACCTTCAGTCCCCCGCGGCGCCGCCTCCAAGACTTCGCTCCCCCCGCAAGCGCGCGTAGAGGTCACGTGAGGGGCCTGGAGCCCCGGCGTGCGGGGGCGAGCGGGGCGGAGGATACCAACGGGAGTCCTGCGGTAGGGGGGAGCAAGCGCGATGGGAGGAAGCCGAGGGAGGTTGTCCTTTGATGCGACTGTACTAAAGCGAAGACCGTGTCCCCCAAAACAGGAAATAGTTTTCCGTACCCTTCAATTAATACAATGGACGCAGCTAGGTTTTTCCTCATACCTGCAATTGGTTAGGTCTCTACCCTGGCTCGGATGGAACAATGTACGTGACGTGGCGTAAGGCGTCCACCTGAGCGCCCATCGAGTCCGCAATTCCTGGCCCCACGTGACCTTTGGGCAGGGGGAGTGTCATCAATTGTCCCCCTCTTCCTTCCTTTACCCGTGTCCCACGGGGCGGAAGTTTTTTTTTTTTTCTCAATGGCGCACAGAACTTGGACAAGGCTGAATGAAGTTTGTGTAGCGATGCTGCGTTCCCAAGGTGTTTGCATATATCCCCAGTATAACTTTTTTGATGTTGTCTACAGCTTTTTCCCTTGGTTTTGCCGAAATTAACCCTGTGGTCTGACTACCAGGGGAAATGGAGAGCCCACGTGGAAAGGCGTTTCTGCTCGGCCGCCCACTTAGTATGATGAGCTCTGTACCACCGAAAGTGGTTTCTCGCCTGCTAGTCAGAACTGCAAACTGTCTCGCCGTCACGCTTTTTCAACCTGACTATTCCTCCTTTCCTGTGGATGCTTCAGTACAGGGTTGGAAAATTACCTAATCCATTCCCACCTCCTTTGGTGTTAGATGCTGTTCGCTACAAGGAAACATGGCCCAGCCCTGCCTTGCCTTGTTTGAGCCCGTTGTTGCTGTCATTGTGTCAGTCCATCTCATTGAGGGTTTTTATCTTTTTTGCTGACTCTACCAAGCATGATGTCATTCTCCAGGGACCTGACCGTCACTTACAATGAGGTCTCGCAATCCGTGCTTCTAAAGTACATTTTGGCTGGCTGCACTTCTAAGATTAATGACTCCTTCTGTCACTCCATATCCAATATTCTTTGCCAACAATGTAATTCAAAGGCATTCGTTCTTTGGTCTTTCTTATTGTCCATTTTTCACATATGAGGTCATTGAAAATACCATGGCTTGCGTCAGTCACCTTAGACCTGAAAATGACACCTGTGCCTTTTAGACTTTAAAGAGATCTTTTGCAGCAGACTGGCCCATTGCAATACATTTTCTGATTTCTGTAGTGTTGCTTCCATGAATGTGGATTATGGATCTAAGTAAAACGAAAGCTTTGGTAACTTGAATCTTTTCTCTGATTATCATGATGTTGCTTATTGGTCCAGTTGGGAGGATATTTCTTTTATATTAAAATCCATACTCAAGGCTCTAATCTTTGATCATCAGTGAGAACTTCAAGTTCTCTTCACTTGCAGCAACCAATGTTGTGTCAATTGCGTATCAGATTGTTAAATAGTTTTCTTCAAATTCAGATGGCCTGTTCTTTTTCATATAGTTCAGTCTCTCAGATTATTTGCTCAACGTACGGATTGAATCAGTATGGTGAAAGGATACAACCCTGACACACATCTTACCTAATTTTAAACCATACAATATCCCCTTGTTCTGTTCAAGCAACTGCCTCATGAGCATGGTTCCGACCCAGAGCTACCCTGTATAGGGTTTCCAAGGAGCAGCTGATGAGCTGGAATTGCCAACCTTGCATTTCAAACTAACTGTGCAGTCCAACACATTAACCCACAACTCCATACCAGGACTCCAAGCAACACTTAAGTATCTGGAATTCCAATTCTTTGAAATATTATCCATAGTATGTTGTAATCTACAAAGTCTAATGTCTTTGTGTAGTCAATAAAACAGGTAAGCATCTTTCTGGTATTCTCTGTTTTCAGACAAGACCTATCTGATATCAGCGATGATATATCCTTCCATTCCACATCCTCTTCTCAATTTGGCTTGAGTTTCTAGCAGTTCTGTGTTAATATATATTCCTGAGGCTGTTTTTTAATTATTTTCAGCACAAGTTTACTCATGTGTGATATTAATGGTACTGTACAATTTCTGCATTGTCACCTTTATTTGGAATGAGCACAAATATGGATCTGATCCAGTCAGTTGGTCAAGTAGCTGTCTTCCAAATTTCTTAAGATAGATGAGTAAGAACTTCCATGCTTGAAACATCTCAACTGGTATTCCATCAATTATTAGAGCCTGTTTTTCACCATTGCCTTCTGTGCAGCTGGGACTTCTTCCTTTGGTATCATGGGTTCCTAATCTACTTCTGAAATGGCTAAATGTTGACCAATTCTTTTTGGTATACTGACTCTGTTATTCCTTCCATCTTTTTTTGATGCTTTCTGCATTGTTTGGTTTTCTGCACATAGAATCCTTCAGTATTTCAACTTGAGCCTGAATTTTTACTTAAGCTCTTTCAGCCTGAGAAATGCTAAACTTGTTCTTCTCTTTGGGGCACGTCTTTGCACATTTCATTATAATACTTTGTTGTCTCAAGCCGCCCTTTGAAATTTTCTGTTTGTTCCTTTCGTTATAGCTACTCTGTGTTCAAGAGTTAAGTTTCAGAGTCTCTTCTGACATCCAGTTTTGTTTTTGTTTTCTCTTTTTAATGACCCTTTGCTTTCTTCATGTATAATGTCCTTGATATCATCCCACAACTCGTCAGGTCTTCAGTCAGTAGTGTTCTATGAATCAAATATATTCTTGAGGTCATAGTTTGGCTTTTGCAGACTTGTTTTAATTTTCTTCAACTTAAGTTTGAACTTGCGTATAAACTGATGGTCTGTTCCACAGTCAGCCTTTGGCTTTGTTCTGCCTGATGATATTGAGCTTCTCCATCATCTCTTTCCACAGATGTAGTTGATTTGATCATTGTATTACATCTAACTAGGTCCTTGTGTAAGGTCTGCATTTGTGTTGTTAAAATAAAAGGGATTTTCTATATTTAAGTTGTTGGTCTTGAAAATTTTGTTTCTATCAACCAACACCTTATTTTCCCACTGGTGATCCTTCTTTGTTTCCAGCTTATACATTGCAATCATCAGTAATTATCACTGCTTATTAATTGCATCTTTGATCAATTTCAGATTCCAGAAGTTGGTAAAAATCTTCAATTTCTTCATATTTGGCATTAGTAATTGGTGGGTAAATTTGAATAACAGTTGCATTAATTGGTCTTCCTTGCAGGCTTATGGGTTGTTGTTGTTGTTGTTGTTAAGTGCCCTCTAGTCGGTTCCAACTCATAGCGACCCTGTATAGGGTTTCCAGGGAGCGGTTGGAAGATTTGAACCACTGACCTTGTAGTTCAAACCAACATTGCAGTCGAGTGCTTGTCCTACAGCACCACAGCAGGACTCCAAGTTTATGGGTATTCTCCTAGACAGCGTTGTATTTCAGGATAATTACTGGAACAAGTAAACAGTGGACCACCCTAGACACACGACTGCCTTGTACTTACGCTGGGTTTTGAAGCTCCTGTTAGTGGTCAGGTACTGCTCAGCCTCTTAAGGTGAGTTGCATCTTTTGCCCAGTCTCACCAAAATACTCATGAGTGCAGCCAGGCTTATAGCAAGTGGTAAAAATTAAGACTTTCAAAACTCTGTTTAAATCTAGTGTGGGTTCAGTTATTTTGTAGTTGTCATTTTAATTATGGTTGTTTTCCCTAGTAAACAATGTGAACATGATTGCTTCACTATGCGACATAGAAATAACTGTGGAAGTGTTTTTGCCTTTTTTTTGTTTATGTTTTTGCCTGAAGTCCAAAGCTTTTTATTGCTCCATAGATGGTAACCTGTACCCTCCTGACTCTGAGCATTTGCTCCATTGACCACACTGGTTGGGAATTTGTTCTGCTGTAAACAGGACGCTGATGACTAAGAACCAAAGTATGAATGGTGCATTCAGGTAAAAGTGTGCTGCTACCATCATCTCTTCACACAGTGAGATGTCTGCTCTTCTCTCCAAATGCCACTCACACCATATTTGCAACAGGACCATCTGACACCCAGAACTAGTTAAGACACAAGAGTCAACTTTTCTTTTTCAGGTTAGAAATAGCAGCTCTAATGTTTTCTTCCCAGGCCCCACAGAATTGTCTACACTCTGGGATGAACCCACCCAACTGTGGAGGTCATTGTTTTACCTGCGTCATTGGGGTATTCACCTCTAGCTCTTGAGAGAGGAGAAATTCCACTTTTGTTTCAAGACTGAAAATAAGTCTCTGCTTATTTTATTTTACTTGGCAGCTCTAGAGCTAGGTCAGGCTTCTCCAAAGTCATTTTGTCATTCAGTTCCTGAATGCTGTATTTTCAGTTCTGAAGAGACAGGACTGTATTTATTGTTGTCATAGAGCAGGGTTTCTCAACCTTGGCATTAGCAACAGTTTAGACCACGTGACAATGGTACAGGACCGGGTTTCACTTTATTGCACCTAGGGTCACTATGAGTTGAAACTGACTCGATGGCACCAAGCAACAACAGGAATCCTTTGTGTATCAGAGCCTTGGTGGTTGTCCTGTCCATTGGAGGCTACTTAGCCTCTTCTCACCAGATGCCAGTAACGCCTTACCCCACCCCACCCCCAGTTTAATAACTGAAACTATTTCCCGACTTTGGCAAATGCTCCCTGGAGGTAAAATCGTGCTGTTGAGAATCACTATCCTAGAGGCTTAGGCTGCAAGGTCAGCCATGACTCAGGGTATTCCTCTCAGACTGCCGGCAGCTAGATTATGCAATTTCAACTCTGATGGTTGTTAGACCTACCTTCCTTTTCTTGGAATAAAACGTAGTGCTTGTTGAATCTGCTAACCTCTTCAACTTTTTAGTCAGAAAGTAAAAAATTATATTGACCTTGTGTCAACACTTTCTCCCAAATAAGCAGATCAATATGCCAAAGAGGAGTCTGCCTTCTAGCTGTTTTGTTATGTGCCAGAGTCATAGTGACCCCATGTGACACAGCACTGCTCCGTGGGGGTTCCTTGGCTTTTTAATCATTACGGGAACACATCACCAGGTATTTTTTCTGTGGAGCCACTCCACTGGATGGGTGCAAACTGCCAACATTTCAGGTAGTGGGCACATCGTAAGCATTGTGCTATCAGGGCTTCCGTCAATGTAACCAATATGTAGTGACCCGTGTTGCTGTTGTTACGTGCCATAGAGTCGGTTCCAGTTCAGAGTGACCCCATGCACAACCGAACGGAACACTGCCCAGTCCTGTGCCGTTCTCACAATTGTTGTTTGAACCACTGTCAGGCCATCTCACTGGGGATTGTCCTCTTTTTTGCTGACCCTCCACCTTTCCA